ACACTGCAAGCCCCAACCGCCCAGACTTCTCCAAAACCCCCAAGCATACATGTAAGCTCTGGTATGTGAGTATGCATGTATATACGTATGTATGTATGTATGTATGTATGTATGTATGTATGTTTTCCTCGTAGTCCTTGAATGTTGACGGAGAGGATGTTGGTCGTGAAGGCGGCCTCGCCACACGCAGTACCTACACTTCGCATCGGTAGTAGATCTCGGGGCTGTAGCGGGCTTGGATGTCCACTCGTTGGCTCTGTAAAGATGAGTCTGCCCGGCTCGCCACCCGGCCACGCCCCGTGTCGCAGACCATAGCTTTCGGCGGCGAGCCATTGTAGGTCCGCTTCCATGAATGCCTTGCTCACATTATCCGGGACCTCCGGGAGATCATGTAGGTTCGCCGCGCCACTTTTTGCGACGATGTCCACCAACTCGTTCCATTCCTCATTGGCATGTGCCTTCACGTGCTGCAGCCAAAGTCGATCGTTCATCTGTCCTCGCAGAAAAAGCTCCAGCTGGTGGGTTTTGGCGCTGAAGGGGCCACAGTCATTCCAGGATCCATCAATGGCACGTCCCGCAGCGAGGCAATCGTAGTGTAGTGTGACACTCTCGGCAGCCAGGAACAGGCGGCTTTGGCCGACCCAAAGCCAAGCAGCCGTAATCGCAACAAGCTCCGCCTGGAGCGGGGGTGCCGCATCGGACGTCCAGACGTGGGAGTGGGCTCCAAGAATTTGTCCCCCAACAATGCCAAAGAGAGCAAGCATGTTGGCGTACTTGAGGAGGCTGGCCACACCGTAACCACTACGCTGTGTGCGGGGGCAGTAGGAGCCGTCCGAGTATAGGTGGACCTCCGGCTTGGAGTGCTCAGGGATAGCACCCAGGAGTTGGCTCCGATGGACTGTCTCCATGAGTGCCTTCTTGGTTGTCTGTAGAAGGGGAAGGCGCCAGACATCATACTGCATCCAGCTGGTGGGCCAAACTTGAAACATCGTTCCCAGTTTCTGTCCCCAGTGTGGTAGTTGGATGTAGGTTTGCGTGATGTCGAACACTCTGGGGCCAACGCGTTCTTCAAGCCGCAGGGTCACAGGGGCTGCTCGTGGGGGTCCATGGTCCGAGGGCCCCACAGAGGGCCAACCATAGGATCGAACGCCATCACCAGGGCAAAGCTGCGGCAAGGTCACAGTCAGCTCAAACTTGGCTATCATGTCCCGCACAATCTGTTCCTTTCCTGGTGACCGTACAGCACAAAGGAATTCGAGGGCGGCAGCTTGGGCACGTTTCCAGGTCAAAGAGCTGTCTTGGTGGCATTCCTCCCCGGCGTCAATGATACCCGATGTGCCCTCATCCTCAGAGTCCTCAGCAATAGTGGGGAGACATATCTTCATGGTTGTAGCCTGCGCTCCTCCCTGGCCACCGTTGCGTCGAGGGGATCGGCTGCGTGGGCGGTTGACAGGCTGTGGCGGTGGGGGTCCCCAAGGGCCCGGACCCCTTGGTGGAGAGTTGCCATCTGAATAGGCCGTCATAGTGCAATCGCTGTTGCCCGTGCTGTCGTCAAAGCTGTCCTCATCGACGTTGTCATCGCTTGAGGCAAGCTGCTCAGTAGGCGTAAGCAGCGCCGTGCGCCTCAGCGTGATTGTCAGGAGCTCGCCGTCATTGATGATGAGCTCGTTGGTGCCATCCCTGCGGACACCGCCATACACCACAACCGAGTAGTCTGGCACGTACGGAAGTTGTAAGTCCTCGAGGTAGGCATCCGGGTCAGACACACGGCCCCGCACGGCTACCCACTGGGGCCAGCGGGCGACCCCGCGAAGGTCCAAAAAGACCACACTCGTCTGCCCCATAGGATGCGCCTCATATTCCAGCACCGCCACAATCGAGTGGATTCGGTGGCCCATGAGCTCCATACGAACGGGCCGTTCAGTAGGGGCCCGGACCCAGATCTGGTGGGGCTCGTGTCCGAAGGCCGCTGCTGCAACCTCCACCGGGGGCGCATCATTGTGTCTTGTGACCCTGTGAAGATACTGCTCTTCCTCGGATTGTAGTGCAATGTGGCGTCCAGCAATGGCTGTCGGCGTGTCAGTGGCAGGCCGCCACCGCGCGGGGTCCGTTAGTCGCTCTGCCAGTTCAGAGATCCAGTGCACCACTTAGCAGTACATCGACGCCCAGCTGGACAAACGCCAGTGCCATGTCGCCTTTGTGCAGCCGCAATTTCTTCCGACTTGGCACGCAAGCTGAGTCGCATTGGGGGGTTGCAATCTGGATTCACAAGCGGCTTGGTATCCTTCGGGTCAACAACAAGCCTGTCCTGGTCGATGAGCCGGACGTCCACATTGTGGTACAGGACAAGCGACTCCTGATTGTCCGAGTGGCCACGGCAATGCGCTCGGTAGTCATGTTCTCTGGGCACTGCCCTCATGCAGCCCGTGACCAGGAACGAAAGGAATTCCTGGCAACCTTTGCTGCCCGTATGAAGCCCCTTGCGTCGGCCACTTTGGTCATTGGAGGCCTGCGTGTGAATGGAAGACCACCGTGTGGGGTTGATGGAGTGACTGGCTCGCTCCGGACGAGGCTGGCCGGGACGCGCTGAAGGTGCTGGAGGCTTGTGGATTCTGGTTGCCCTCCACCGTGGACCGTCGGCCACATTTCAGCATCCGCAGGGACCGTTGCACAGGATAGACTTCATCGTCTTTGGCGGGTTGGCTCGGATACATCAAATGTGCAGCAGAGTGGCAGAGGACTTTGACACAGCGAACCTCAACAGTGACCACTGGGCGGTCGAAGCCATTGTCAATGGGCAGATTGGCTCTGGATTCTGCGACAGCAGGCTGCACCGCCCCCGATATGATCGGGCCAAGATGCTCACCGTGGAAGGACAGGCGGCTGTCAGGACGGCAATGGCCTGCTACCAACCGCCTGCCTGGGATGTTCATGTGGATGAGCATTGCCGGCACTTCCAGGACTATGTCGTTGGCATCATGAATGATCATTTCCGTATGGACCCAGGAGGCCCACGTGCTGGGTATATCCCAGAAGCGGTTTGGAAGTTACGTGAGCACAAGATCGTCCTGAAGAAGAAGGCGAAGCATCGACGGCTCTTTTGGAAGCAGGCTGTGGGTGTCTGTTTTCAACACTGGTCCCGAGGGGCCACAGATGACACCATGTGGGAACTCCACAAGGAAGCCGTGCTCTACCAGTTGGTGGCGACGGCGGTCGGCTACGTCACGGACCAGATCAAGAAGGGCATTGCGACCGGCAAGAATGCCCTCCTCCGCGGTGTAGCTGGACAGGGACAAGCCACCACGACGCAGATCCTCCGCAAAGCCAGGGCCTGTGGAATTGGGGGACGACAGGCCAAACCTTTGGCCCGGGAGCTCCCGCTCCTTCTAGACAAAGAGGGACAACCGGCCCAGGGACGAGCTGCGAGAGACCTTATCTGGCTGCAACACTTCAGCGAACAGGAACATGGTCGGGTCTTCCCTGTCGCCGAGTAGCTTCAAATGCAGTCAGTCGCGGGCGACTTGGCGGCGGAAATACAGTGGCAGGCAACAGACATGCCGACGATCGAAGAAATCGAAAAAGGCATACGCCGTCTCCCTAAGTCCAAGGCCACGGGCTTGGACATGACACCTGGGGAGGTGATGCAGGCCTGCCCTAGCCAGTTTGCGTTGTCACTGCACGCCCTCTTCCTGAAGGCGGCCGGCGGCCTACAAGAGCCGGCGCAGTGGCGCGGAGGAGTGCTGTTTGAGTGCTGGAAGAGAAAGGGCTCTTGGTCCCTGGTCGAGAACCATCGATCCCTGTATATTTCAAGTGCGGTGGGCAAGCTCTAATTATCACCGAATATACCGGGATAAATCTCAGCCTCAACTTCAACAGGCTATACACGGACTACACCTTGGCAGCAAGCAACAGTCGCCGCTCACGTTTGCTGCGCTGTACATGGTCTCCCACTTCCGACTCAGTCGTGGTGCCAAATGCTCGGCTGGTGCCTTATTCCTCGACACAGCCTCCGCTTATTATTCAATAATAAGGGAGATTGCGATGGGGGAAGTGTGTTCGACGAGACCCTGGCCGGATTGTTCCAGCGGTTCAACCTGGAGCCAACAGACCTGCAAAAGCTCTGGCGCATCATCGAGGCTGGCGGCATCATGCACGCGCAGGGTGTGTCCCCGGGTGTTCGCGGAGTCATCCGTGATATACACCACAGGGCGTGGTTCGCTACACGCCACACACAGGGGCAACGAATCGCGTTGTCCCTTGCGGGCAGTCGCCCGGGAGAATCGTTCGCAGACGCTGTTTTTTCTTATGTCTACAGCAAGGTCTTGGACAAGATCATGAACGCGGCCCAGCAGGAAGGCATCTTCAACCAGTACCTCTACAGCCCTGACGAGGGGGTCTTCGGCAATGGGGGAACTGGGGAGCCCATTGTTGCCCGTGAGGCGACATGGGCCGACGATTCGGCTTTCCCAGTCAGTGAGCCAGGGCCCTCCGAGCTGGTGGCTAAGATGACCCGGCTGGCGACGGTTGTGATCAAGGCCTGCAAATCCTACGGATTGCAGCCGAACCTCAAACGCGGTAAAACCGCCGTCGTCCTCAACTTGACTGGCAAGGGGGTACACGCGGCTCGCAAGCGATACTTTGCGGACCGACGTGACACCCTGTGGCTCCCGGACATTGAACAGGCGGTCTATGTCGAGCCTAGCTACGTGCACTTGGGTGGCCTGCTGGACATGCATGCCAGCCTGGAAGGTGAGAAACGGCGCAGGCTTGCCATAGCCTGCTCCTCCTTCGATGACGGGCGCCGCATACTCTGCAGAACAAGAGTATTGAGTTGGCGACACGGGCAAAGCTGTTCGAGATGTCGGTGCTGGCGACGTTCCACAATTTGGCCATCTGGCTCCCTGAGGGAGCCGCCTGGGAGGGCCTTTGTGACGGCTACTCACGGATCCTGCGGCGACTGCTCATCACCAGTATCCCGGGTGACCAGTTGTGTAAGGTGCACACTTTTGATTCCTCATGGCCAGGGGTGACTGCAGCTGAATGGCCAGCCTGGTGGCATGCCATCCGGCAACAGCGCTAAGTTCAAGCTCCGGGTCAAACAGATGCTCAAGCTGCAGCACGTGCAGCAGACCCAGGACATGAAGGTGCGAGTTGGACTCTGGAGCCTCTATCGGGCGGCGTGCGAGCGCCTCCCGAAGGAATCAGGGAGTGCAACCATGTGGGGATGGAAGCCGACAATGGCGCAAGATGGCGGAGGAGCAGTTCACGTGGGCTCCCAACGTTTACACTTCCCCTGGCCTTGAGCTTACGACGGAGCAGCCATGGGCGCGGGAAGTAACCGGTGCCTACCGTGCCCTCTGCGATGCAGCGGGACGACTGGGACAGTGACGACGAGGCTGACAAGGACATTGTCAATGCCCTGGGCGAGCACCCGCTGTACTACGACGAGGAGCTACAAATCCTGGAGTGCCTTCTACAAGACATGCGAGACCTGCAGCGAGCGGGACAGCATGACCAATGGCGGCCACATGTATTTCAGAGGCTCACAGCAGCATTGGATCGACTGCTGGACGAGCTGCCGAGCCCGGCTCCTGCTGTTGAACAGAAGGACCCATGTTGCGAATCGTTCAAAGCCTTTGACAATGTGGTCAACAATGTGGATTGGAGTGCACTGATCCAGAAGTGCCGTGAAGAGTGCGAGACCTGCGATGGGACACCCGATAGCCTGGAAGTAGATTGGGACGCTGAGGAAACTACTTGCAGGGGGTGCTCGGAGCCTTCAGCCGCGCTTTCTAGCACAGTGAAGTATGTACCAAAGAGGATACGGCTCGTGTGGCACAGCATCCTCCAGGGAAAAACCCTGGAACTGCGAGCCCCGGATTCCTTTTGGGCCTGCCCGTTGTCGGTGCCGTTTAGAGCGCTGAGGGCCAATGCAATCAATTAACGCAGCGTACACCACTGAAAGCCCGGAAATGAAAATGTATGTATGTATGTA